CCTCATTGTTGAATAGTCCCACATTGATTCTGAAAGGGTAAGGGACCTAATGGAGCCCCTCACCTTATTGGCTAGCTTTTGGGGTGGGAAAGGCTCTTTACGATCTTCCAATTGAGGGTGTAGGGGACTCGAGCCTCCACTACTGACAATATATGTATCTAAATTCATTAACATCTATATGATGAATGTGGATAATGCTAGAAAGTCTTATAATATAAAACGGAGGGAGTAATACTTAATTAATCACGCGTTAATTGCTTATCTCATTTTACGTATCTACTTAATATTTTTCTTTCTCCTTCTCTTAGCCTAAATTTGATAGCTTAGGTTTGATGGTGGATAAGTAGGGGTAAAAACGGGCGGGTACAGTATCCTAACCCATATCTTCCTTTAAATTTGGATTGGGCACGGGTAGTGTCCAATAACATATGACTCATCTCGTATTCTATACCATACTTTTTTCTTCGAATCGGATTTGGGAACAGATATTTACTTGCATTTTTAATTCATAGATATTTAATATACAAAGACAATTAAAGTGGTAAAAGAGGTACATCAAGGAACAAAGTATATAATATTACATGTGAGCTCATAAAAATAATGATTAACTAATTTTTTGTTTATATGTAAGTTTCTAATAGATTTTCACATATGTTTGTATAATATGGACATACGGGCAGATACGACTCTTCCCATATCATAACATATATTTTTTTACGAATTTGGGTTCGAACTCGGATAATATCATGTATCTCATTTTTCTCTTCCATATTTTTTTTCCGTAAGCCTTGGGTCGGGCGGGCGGTCAGGTATATACCCGGGGCAGACCCAGAGGGTTTCTGGTATGCACCGGCATGGAACCGGATCCTCTGACGTAGAGGATTCTACGTTAGAGGGCGGTAGTTTTCTGCATCTACGTCTGTTTTTCATCGCACGGCAAAGGAACCAGAAGTTGAGACGCGATTTGTCTTCGCCTCGTCAGGCCCAACAACGTGGCTTGGGTCAGCCCGGTCGACACCTTGATAGTCATTTTCCTCCGCTTGTTTTCTCTGATCGCTCTATCTCTTCTCTTCTCCCCCGCGCCGCCAGACCGCGCTCGAGCGTTCGACGTGGGGAGCAGAATCGTCGATTGCCGGAGGGGTCAACCAGACAAGCTTCTCTACACTTCTTTCGCTATTTTGGAAATCAACATTCTAGCAACTTCCTGGGAGCATGGAGAAGAACTATAGTTCTGTGTGTATATATTTACCTTTCTTTTGTATATTGGAAATCAGCATGAATTCTGGGAGCATGGGCACACATTATGTAAATCTGAATGAGTGTCTTTTGCCACCTAAAATATATTACCAAAGAAAAAAAGGCATCAGCTGTTCAGTTAAATAGTTAAGTTATGATTGAGCATTCATAAATCTCATTCAGTCAGTGTATCAGGGATATGATTGAGCAATTACATACAATCATATGTTGAACTGAATGCTGAAAATTCAGCAATATTGTTCAGTCAGGCATTTCATTATGCATTGGCAAACAATCAATAATCACAAACTCCCAATTTATAAAACTATCATTCAACAATATTCATTCACAATCATTTATCATTGAGTCAAAATCTCAGTATAGAACACTAACTCTAAAGCTACAGCATGGCTGGCCATTGGGTCTGCTACTCTGCTTCAACACCGCTCCTCGGACCTCCTCAACGGCGCGAGCGCTACAGCACAAGGTCAGCCTTTCTCCAGCGGCAGCGTGGGCTCGACAACGCTGAGGTCACCCTTCTTCCTCCCTCGGCGGCGCGGGGGTCTGTGGTGTGGTCGCCCATGGCGGCCCTTCCTCCTCCCACAGCGGTATGGAGATCGCCTACAGCGGCACGGAGGTCACCCTTCCTCACACGATGGCGAGCACTCGGTGGCGAATGGAATTCCGGTGCCGCCACTCTCTAGCCGCACCACGTCGCACACACAAGCTTGGCCACCTTGGCGGCGCAAAGACCTCCGGCGGGCGGCGGCGCAGGCGAGAAGAGATAGAGCGACCAGAACGAGCGAGCGTAGGAAAAGAACCGTCGACAGGGCCGACCTGGCCCACGTTGTTGGGCCCAAAGAGTCGAGACAAATCACATCTCGAACTTCCGCTGAAGCCTTGCCGTGCAATCAAAAACAGACGTAGATGCGTAAAACTACTGCAGGATCCGGTTCCCACGGGCATACCAGAACATGCGGCAAAAGTTTAGGATATAGTAGTAGGCATGCATGCTTCGGTTGTTCTGCTGACGTAAATACAATATATGTTATTTTCTTGTGGCCTTGTTTAGATAAAAAAAAATTGGCCAAAAACGTCACATCAAATGTTTGGACATGTGCATGGAGAATTAAATATGGGAAAAATAAAAACCAATTGCACAGTTTGCATGTAAATTGCGAGACGAATCTTTTGAGCCTAATTAGACTATGATTTGATAATATGATGCTATAGTAAACATTTGCTAATGACGGATTAATTAGGCTTAATAAATTCGTCTCGCAGTTTACAGGCGGAATCTGTAATTTATTTTGTTATTAGTCTACGTTTAATACTTCAAATCAATGTGTGTTTGTATATTTCAAAAACTTTACACCCAAAATACTAAACACATTCTGTGCCTTATTAGCAATGCAAAGCAAAGCCCATAAGGACCAACGAACAGCCACTTTCCTCACACAGCTTCACAGCCCACAAGCACAAAAATTAATTAATGTGCAATCGATTCTTCGGTATTTGTCTTGGTCACATTTTATGAAGCCATTCTGTTAAAGATTCACAACAATAATGCAGTCGAGTGCTTTTATGCTATTAAAAGTGTGGCCATTCTAAATGTTTTTAGATTTTTCTGAATCTTCTATTAAAAATTATTCTTATAAATTCAGACATTTTTATGTATTCATGTGGACGTAAGCTGCTACAATTTGCTCGCAAGTTTTATATGGGCACACCAGTATAATTTTTCTGTGTCCGCCACTGGGTATACCCACCTCGTTTTCACCCCATATGGATAAGAAAAAGAAGGTACTATTGGATCTAAATACAACGAAATTAATATTGAAGGTACCAAATTATTAGTAGGGGGCATAAATCGACACCAGTCCAAACCTACACATAATCAAAAATACAAAGACATAAAATATACTAGACCACATGCTCACACTAAATGAAACATAGGAAAGTTTACTATTTCATGGTCTTGGTGAAAAAACTTATATGGTGATCAATATGGAATGGATGAAGTATTTTGGGTCAGAGGTAGTAGTTTGCTATAGGATATGATAATTATTGTTTCAGTATTCCGTCCTAAGTCGATTTGACTTTTTTTAATAGTCAAACTTTTGTTGGTTTAACTAAGTTAATAGAAAAAAATAGCAGTATCCATGATACAAAATTAGCTTCACTAAATGTAAAATTGAATATATGTTAATAACTTGTTTGTTTTGTATTGAAAATGTTACTATATTTTTATGGCCTTTATCAAACTTAAAAAAAATCAATTAAGAAAAAAAGTTCAAAACAACTTATAATAACTTATAATATGATGTGGAGGAAATATTATTTTTTATACTAGTGTGTTTAGTTCACGCTAAAATTAAAAGTTTGGTTGAAATTGGAACGATGTGACGAAAAGTTTGAAATTTATGTGTGTAGGAAAGTTTTGATGTGATGAAAAAGTTAAAAGTTTGAAGAAAAAGTTTACAACTAAACAAGGTAAATTGGAGATTAAAATTGCTTTTGAGAGCAGCGTTGCTTCCGCGTGACGGTTTGTGGCTCCATGCCATTGCCATCTGAGTCATCACCTACACTGTCGCCTACTGCACCTGCTGTACTCTCACCCTCGCATTGGGAACCGACTCGTCTGTTTCTCTCTCTCTCTCCCCGCACGAACAGCTGCTGAGCCCCACGCACCCAGGAGCGAGAGGGAGGCTACTTGGAGTCCAAGAAAGTCGCCGAGAGCCAGAGCCTCCCATTCGGCCGCCACGTGGCCGCCCAGGATTGGCAGTCAAGGAAAAGCCCAAGGACGGGATCATCCCACCCGTCCGTCCCGCAACGGACGGCGCCGAGATCGATCAACTCCCAGCTGGGGAGTGTGAAGTGACGTGGCAGGGATCTGACGGGTGGGCCCCAACGTGGGGGGAACCGCCTTCCCTGGTGGTCACGCGTGTGATGAATAAAATTTGAATATATACCTTTGTTTTTAACATTTTGCGTTTATATATATGCATAGGAAAAAATTACGAAAATATACCTCTACCGCAGAGTGGAGATGCGGGACTGAGATGGTGCCACTCGCTCCCGCAGAACGGCCGCGCGGCACCGTCGCTCCCGCGGAATGGCCGCGCGGAACCGTCGCTGCCGTGCTCGCTCCCGCGCGCGACGTCACGGTCCCGCGCTGCCGGGACGCACGACCGTGCGGTCCCGCGCGGCGGGTGCGCACTACAAGAATCCTGTTAATCTGTGATGGAAAATTTCTGTCACGGATTACTGAAAAACCGTCACCAAACAACATCTGTGATGGTTTCAGAAATCATCACGGATTGAGCGTCATGGATTGACTTGCGTGACGGTTTGTCGAAAACCATCACAGATTAACAGAATCGGTGACGGTTTAAAACCGTCACGATGGAGCCCAAGGTCTAGTTAGTCCAGCCAAGCCCATTTCCTGTGATGAAAATAACCGTCACGGATAGCTGCCACGTAGGATATTTTCCGTCACGGATCAGCTGCCACGTAGGATATTTTTCCGCCAAGGTGGACGCTGATGTGTCATCGATGCCACGTAGGATTAAGCCAACGTATTTTGTGGCCCAATTCAGGATCCAAGAGCTTTCGGCCCATTTATGACCACCTGGATTTTTTTTGTTTTGGGCCGATTTGTTTTTTTGTGGGGTGTTTTTTCGGCCTTTTAGTCATCATTCAACCCAGTTCAAATTGGGCTACTGCAAGATTTCAGCCCAACTAAAATTCAGCTGCTGCTAAAATTAGCAAAATGCAAATATTTCATCCATAATTTAAACAAAATTAATTACCGATCATCAATTTACATTCTCTCATCATCATCATCAGATCAGCACATAAATATTCTAAAAACACATTACAACCTTCACATCTCATACAACATAATGTTTGTTGAGCATATCTCATACAGCATAATTAAAACCTGTTCAAAAGCACATGACAATACCCAGCAGCCACCAAAGCATTTTGGCCACTTCTCCATCAAAGTTCACATATGTTTGAGCCCAGCAACCTGATAGTACAGTACCATATGTTAGGTTTTTTTTTATGCGCTAGAGAAACAACAAGAAACAATCTACATATACGATATTAATTTTTGATGTCCCCATAATATATTGCACCAACAGAACTCATTGTCCCCATCCCAACCCACCTCATTTCATTGGCCAAGCAAACAAGCAACTAACGCTAGACTAAACCAAAAAATATGAGAGCAAGTAAAGTGGTACATGAAAGTGAACTAGAATGCATAGGAGTACAACACTAAAATTTAGACACTAAAGTTATGATACGAGTAACTTCCTATCCATGCTTCATTTCCACGGGCTACAGGCATATAGCATTTAAACATACATACATATTTGTATGCAGGACCATAAAGATGAGAATATTGGTCATGGTATATTAATTAATAGTCCGTTCCACTGAGTATATAAACAGTTCTATACGGCAGAAATCATGAGATGCTTCTACACATGTACAAGCAGAATTACCTAAAAAAAACACATGTACAAGCAGCTAGATGGAGTTTGCTAATCGAACATGGTCCAAGCATCACTGGCATTCTGATTTGCTTCACTCCACAAACAGCTAGATGGATCTGCAGCATCTTCTGAAATCAGACAAATTGTTCAGCACTATCCTTTTGCAGGGGGAGCTGAAGGACATAACTACTGAAATAAAGTACGGTGCATACCAGTAAGCAAATCTTTCTGCAGATCACATTCCTGACTTTGCCATCCCCACATTTCTCTACAAAGTTACACATTTCACTCATAACTCATATTGTAGAATCAATAACACAAACAAATAACATAAATAACATATATCAATCCACACAGATGCAGTTGTGCTGTTGCTGTTGTTGTGCTGTTGCGGTACCTTTGGTTGTCGTTGTGCTGTTGCTGCAGCAAGAGGCTAAGGCACTTGGTGGGGGCGGATGGTAAGCCGGGAAGCAGCAGGGCCGAGGCACCGGCTCTTGGAACGGAGGAGGAAATCCTGGCACTGCTGCTGTTCGGCGGTGGCCGCGTCCATAGCAGCGCACGCCAGAGCGGCGGCGTCGTCGCCGTGGACAAACCTGCAGATCCTAGAACGGAGTACCGAGGGGGGATGCTAGCCACCGCCGCCAGCTAGTGCGCGCACGGTCGCCGCCGCCACCGCCGGTTCGACTGCGCGCGGTCGCTGCCGCCGCCGGCGGCTTGAGCATGCGTGGTCGCCGCCGAGATTCAAAGAGGAGGGGGACGAAGGACGGAATGCGAGTGGGGATGCGAGCCGCCGGCGCCGGCACCGGCTCTAGCGCGCGCGGACACCGCCACCGCCGAGATTCAGAGAGGAGGGGGCGGAGGACGGAATGGGGATGCGAGCCGCCGCCGCCGGCTCGAGCGCACTCGGTCGCCGCCACCGCCAAGATTCAGAGAGAAGGCGACGGAGGACGGTGGGGGAGTGGATGGTGGCGGCGGCGAATGGATAGCTTGGGCTAGGGTTTGGGGAACTGGTTATATAGATAAGAAGCAATCCAACGCGAATTTACCAAACTGTCCCTGGTGTGTTCACAATAGTTAAAAAATTGTATGAACAAAATGGACATTTCACCTTAAATTTATAAGAACTTTAAATTTAACTTTAGGCTGAATTATGGGTTTCAAATGCAAAAATCATAAACAACAAAATTGTAGGACTCATCGAGATCTACAACTATTGTATTGGTCCTTTTTATAAATAAGTTCATTTGAACAATTCAAATTTTGAATTTTTAAAATTTGACAACTTCGAATAAAAATTGGGGTTAATAAATGATTTCAAATGGAAAAGTCACTAAAATCAAAGTTGTAGAACTCATCGAGATGCAAAATTTTTATTTTGGTAATTTCTCTATCTGGCTCTATTTGAATAATTTGAAATTTGAAATTCAAAGTTTGATAACTTCAAATAGAATTTTTTATTAGTGAACGACTTCAACTGAAAAAGTCATCAACAACAAAGTTGTATAATCCATCTGTATCTACAATTTTTATTTTGGTCATTTCTTCATCTGATAAAGTGATAGTAACATTGTTTACAAATTTTACATATCTCTTATACTGTTTTATAATCTATAAGAGATATATGTAAATTTTGTGAACAATGTTACTATTACTTTATTGGATGAAGAAATGACCAAAATAAAAGTTATAGATATTAATGAGTTATACAACTTTATTGTTGATGAATTTTTCAGTTGAAATCATTTAGTATTTGAAAATATTGTTTGAAGTTGTCATAATTTGAAATTCAAATTCAAATTGTTGAAACAAAATCATATAGCAAAATGACCAAAACAAAAGTTGTAGATCTTGATAAGGTATACAAATTTGATGTTGACAATTTTTTATATTTGAAATCATTTACAACCCGAAAAATTATTTGAATTTCTTCTATTTCAAAATTTAAATTTTATATTGGTCAATCAAACTCAGATGGAGAAATAACCAAAATAAAATTGGTGTATCTCAATAAGTTTTACAACTTTGTTTATGACAACTTTTTCACATAAGTTCATTTAATATGATAAAATTTGATTCAAAGTTTTAATATTTTAAAATTAATTGAGAGGAGGGAGGCAAAGTGGACTTCTCGGTGAGGGAGGAGGGGAATGGGAAGTCGGCCCAGGAGGGAGAGAGAGGCTGTGGGCTGAGGGAGGGGGAGAGTAACACTTGGGCCAAAAATGGCCCAAGGACAGAGAGATATTTTAATTTGTTTTCTATTTTTTTTGATAGGTTAAATAAACTTTGTGGTATTAAAATTAGTTATTAGGCTCTGAAAATTCACAGAAAATTACAGAGAATAATTTAGACCACGTAGAATATTAAAAAATATTTCCGGTATGATTTTTAAAGGAAAAATTTTAATTTCCTCGTTAATTCACTTGATAAAATTGCTTTAACTTTTAATATATTTCTTGTAGTGAAAAGTATAAGTGAGTGCATACCTAATCAACTAAAAGAAGTAGCTATGAATGTTGCTGGATAACTATAGGTGTTAGGTTAAATTCCTACAAGCTCCAAATATTTTTTGTTCGCACACTATATATATGCAAATATTTTCAGTTTTACCATATGCAACATATACAAGTAACAAATAGTAACAAAATAATTTAGTTCAAAAACAAATTGTCTTTTGGGTTTGATTCGTTTTGCAATCATTTACTGCTTCAAAATGTTGTTTGAAGTTGCCACTTTTTGAAATTTAAATCTTCAATTGATAAAACAAAGTCACATGAAAGTATGACAAAAATAATAGTTGTAATAGCACAATAAATAGATAGATCATGAATTTAGAAAATTTTATATAAAAGAAAAATTAAATTTGAAGTTAGTATGAGGAAAATAAACTAATTTAAAATTTTATTCACACATTAAAAGTAAAAATCTGCAGCTATTCTCGCGAATTTTATGATGAACACGACGAGCAGGTGGCGCAGGTCCATTACCTGCTAACATTTTGATATATAAAATATAATGCACGCTCTTTGACAAAATACTTCAGTGGCACAGTGGTGTTTCCTCATCGAGTCCCCTAGAAAGCAACGTTTTTGTTTCTTGTTTTTTTACAAGGCGCAGGGTGGCCTGCAGCTAGCCTGTGTTGGCTGCCCATGTGGAAAATGGGCCGCTGGCCCAGCTGAAGGGGCAGAGCGCGAGAGGGAGGCTGGGCCGAGCCCAAGAGAAGGAGAGAGTGAGCCATAAATGGTCCAAGAGAGAGTGTAGCTTTTCATTTTTTTTAAATTCATTTGAACCTCAAATTCAAATCCTTTTCAAGCAAAACAAGTTTTGAAATGCCTTTTGATTATCGTCACACTGTGACGATTTTAAAATCACACACTGTGACGATCTGGATAAAACCGTCACGAGTTAACGGGCCAAGAATATCCACTAGTGCACGTCCATGACGGAAAACAAATTATCGTCACGGATTGCCTCTGTCAGTGACGGTTTATGAATCCGTCACCAAGAATCTGTCATGGATTAACAAGTTTCTTGTAGTGGCGCGCGACCGGCGTGGCATGCATGCACCGCTGTGCCTGCATGCGTGCGTGCGCTTGCGTGGCCGTGTTCCGCATGCATGCATGCACTGGTTCCGCGTTCCCGTGTTGCGGGAGCATCGGTCCCGCACAGCTATTCTGCGCGATCGTCGGTTCCGCAAAATGGTGGTGCGGGACCGTCGTGGTAGAGGTATATTTGCGTAAAATTTTATAGCATATGTATATAAACGCAAAATAACGACAACAACGGTATATTTTCAATTTTTTTTCTACTAGACGGTAGCCACGGTTTCGCAGAACCAGCGCGCGCGACCGCCACGGTTTCGCAGAACCAGCGCGCGCGACCGCCCCGGTTCCGCAGAACCAGCGCGCGCGACCGCCCCCTGTTCTGGGACTGCAACGGTGCCGCACACCCAACGTGCGGGACCGAGTTTCCCCCGGCCAGTCCCGCAGTCCACCGCGGTGCCGCACGGCCGGTCCCGCAATCCGCCGGTGCCGCACGCCCGGTCCCGCAATCCACCCCGGTGCCGCACGGCAGTTATGCGCGTGCGCCTCGGTACCGCACGCCCAATGTGCGGTACCGTCGCGGTACCGCTTCTCCAACGTGCGGCACAGCTCCGGGATCGGTCCCGCGCCGCCAATCCGCGGTTGCGCTTCGCTCCCGCTGCCCCGCCCTGCGGCTTAGGTATAATTTCGCAATTAGTTGCCATGCATGTATATAAACGCGAATTAGGGAAAAAAGAAGTATATTTTCAAATTTTTTTCCGCGTGTGATGTGCGGAGGCGAGGCAGCGGTCCCCATTTCCTTTTTTCCTACGCGCACCCCCTCAACTGTACTCCTAGTAGTATACTACCACACCTGAGTAGTAATTAGGCTTACGCCCGGAGTAATTCTTTTTCTATATTTATTTAAAACTTCAATTACCTTGTTTTAAATAATCATATATGATAAATGTAACTTAAAAACATATATATTTTTAATTAGAATATTGAGATTTTTTTATAAATATTTTATTGTAACCAATACAACAATGGAACCGGATCATAAATAGGATAAGTATTTTAAGAGAAAATTTTAGAAGGAAAAAGACATACAAGACCTAATAGCAAAATAGATCTTCAGCTTGTCTGTAGATGTAGATGCTTATAGTATAGTAGTTCTCCAACGTATGGTTGACATCGCTCATTAATCTAGTGTCACGCGATTTGACAGAAACCAGAGGGCTCTTGATTTAAATTTTTCGTTAATTAATCATATGCTAATGAGCTTTCTCATTTTGCACACGCTAAACATCTTTCTCCAAAACGAGAGAACGAACTTAACACAGCCTTAATACTAACTTCGTTTCGTACTACGAGAGTTTCCAATTCCAACTTTTTGGACCATATTCCTTCATATTTACGGTTCCATTAATTTGTATTAGCTGTCAATATGAACAAAGAAAATCAGACGTAATCTTTTTTTTTCAATGGTATCAAATTCAACCAATTTGATTGTTTAGCTGATTTTCAGCAGCAATGTCAGACCTGCATTGAGCTCTAAAGGGCATCACCAATGTATATGGCAAAGTGATCCATATAGATGGGACCCATATAAATAGTTTTTACCTATGACAATCTCCATAATGTATATGGATACAAGGTATCATTAGGAGAAGAGAGAGGAGTAGGGATAGATAATATAATTTATTCCATATGGGTAGTCCATATGCATATGGATACCTTTTGTTATTTTTTCTATATGGACTAATTGCACAATGGTAATAGGTGGCTGAATGAAATATTCTATTGCTTATGGACTACTTTTACACCACATTGTGGATGCCCTAACTATGTGAGTTGGCTCTATATATAAGTTAGGGTTAAAATAGGCTGATATAAGCAAGTTTAGATACTCATAAGTCACTCTAGGATGTGTTTTAGAGGAGGGAAAATAGGAAGATTGAGAACATACTAAATAAGGTGAGATATTAGCGTATGATTAATTGAGTATTAATTATTTTAAAATTGTAATACTAATTAATATGATTTTTAAAGCATCTTTCTTACTTTTTTTTTGCAAAAGAAACCCGTTTAATTGTTTGAGAAGCGTGTGCGAGTAGAAAGTGAGAGATTTTTTTCTTCCTTTGTCCTTCTAACAAAAACTACCTTAAATGGCATAAATGTTTTTCAAAATTTTGGGCTCTTTGGATTTGCCATGTATTTATCCAGATCACAATTTGGAGTTTTTTTTTTAAGAACACAAGACGGATATAGTATTCTTTATAGATAATTGGATGTATTATGCTCAATTTTTTTATAGGGATAAATTAAAGGCTACTTTTGCTAAAATTTGTTGAACATCTTATCTTAACTGATGTATAAAGTTTGTTTAGTTAGAAATTGTACTTTCGGAAACATGACACAAATAGTCCGCACATAATTCACTAGCTACAATCTAAAACAATTTGTTCTTAGT